TCTCTCTCTCTCTCTCTCTCTCTCTCTCTCTCTCTCTCTCTCTCTCTCTCTCAAGAAACACCAGTCCTCATCAAGTTCTCTCTCTTTGAATATCCCTTTCTCACTCCTTCCCTCCCTCCCCCTCTGCTTTCTATGTCTTGTTCTGGGTATAGCTTTGGAGTATTTGTAGGAGCTCTGAGAGCATCTGGCTTCCTCAGAGCATATACTTGCACAGATCATTGCAGCCCAAATCGAGCATCGAGCACTTAGCGGATATGCAACAGTCGCACACCGTCCTGTTGCTCAAGAGGCGGCTCTCCAGCAGTACCAGTCACAGTCTCGGTCAAGTCTTAGCCTACCCACTCGGTCTCGGTCCAGACATGTATCCAAACTGAGTGAAAATGAAGAGATGCAGGTTAGGTTTTTGCATCAACCACTTCCAATTAATGACAACCATCTCCTCTGCAATCTGACAAGGAGTTTGTCAAAGCATCAGCATCAGCGCGTGTAGTCTTCCTTTCTTTTCTTTCTCTGTCCTTTGTTTTTGTTTTGTTTTTTCAACTAGTTTTTTTGCTTTTGTTCTCCTTTGAAAGATGGATGCTAATAGCAGGTAATAAAAAGGGGCAACCGTACTCTGAATCAAGCAAGGGTTCACTTTTGAGGAGTGCCAAGTCCGTGATAGGTTAGCATAAACCTAGCTGACGAACATAACACTAACGGGCCCCAGCGCTATAAGCATCCCAAACGACAACAGACAAGCTTGCCATTTCCTAATTCAGCCTGCACAAGATATGAAAGGCAGCAAACAGTACCTGCCCTGTGGATGAGGGGTATACCTGTATCTAGCTGTGAATGTTGATACACAACTCATGAGTTCAAGGTAATATTAGGAGCTAACATTCTCCCACCCACCCCAGTCTCCCATTAATAAGGCAGCAAACAGAGGGGAGGGTTCTGGATGCCCACCCTACTGGAGGCAGCAGGCAACACTGAGCCCGACAAGTCAATCTCCCTCACTTCCTCGTCATCATCCACATCGATTGGTTGAGATGGTCTCCCCAACTCTGTGCTCCTGCTCCTATTGGTTGCCATCGCCTTCAATCCACCGCCCGTACTGCAAGCGCTTCCTGGTCAGCACACGAGCACCAACAGTTACTCTTCACCACCACCTGACAGCTTGCTTCTGGACGCTCTCGCGGCTTTCTTCCTGCCCCATGTCCCGACCAGCGCATCCAGTCCAACTTGCTTCTAGATGCTCCCGTCGTCAGTCATCTCTCCAACCACATCTTTTCTGCCAAAGCATGATGCAACCTAAAACACAGGGGTCAAGAGTCGTTACCTCCCGTCGGCCAGCTCCCAGAAAGTGGCAGTCCGAGATTAAATAATAAAGCTAGCCCTCTGTGCAGCTGTGGCAAAGACTCCGCGTGCTGCTTCTAGTTCCTCCTCCTGCAAAGGGAACAAAGCAGGGCAGCTGGATTGGCATCACCGGCCCCAAGTTGCTCTCATCGCCCGTCGTCGCTCCAACCACATCGCCAAAAAATAGTGCAATGTAAAACACTTACGTTCGAGAGCCGTTACCACCCCGCAGACAATTGCTGGAAACACCGTGACAGTGGCAGTTACAGATTAAAAAAGAAAGCAAGCCCTCTTCACAGCTGTGGCAAGCATTCACTGTGCTGCAGAGAAACGGTGGACGACACCCGGTTCGGCATTCATCTGCAGCAACCAGTTCCCGGTACCATCATACGTAATGCAACCTCTTCGTTCTGATCACCCTGAAAATATTGCACCTTCCTGAAAGCCCTGCTGGTCTGTGGCCTCCGTTACTGGGCTACCTATCCTCTCGCCTCCCAAAGACGCATCAGCTTCTTCCCCACTCGCCCTTTGAAAGCAACGGCTTCTTCAGTTAGGATGACTTACCTGCAAACAAAGACAAAAAATTACCACTAGGATTCCTGCACGCGTGATGTCACTGTGTCGATACAAAGTCGGCGCACAGCGGTTGCGACAGAGGTGTTGTCACTGTGTCAGTACACAGTTGGTAAGCAGGTGCTGGTACAGGTGTTGTCGCTGTGTCGATACAAAGTTACGAACACGGTGTTGTCACTCTGTTGATACAAAGTTGGTACACAGGTGTTGGTCCACAGGCGCTGGTACACAGGTGTTGGTACACCGGTGTTGGCAATGTGTTGGTGCAAAGTTGGTACACAGGTGCTCGCACACAGGTATTGTCACGGTGTTGGTACAAACTTGGTCCACAGGTGTCGAGACTCAGTAAAAGGTTGGCACACAGGTGTTGTCACTGTGATGGTACAAAGTAGGTACACAGGTGCTGGTACAGGTGTCGGTACACCGGTGTTGTCACTGTGTTGGTGCAAAGTTGGTATACAGGTGTTGTTACTGTCGAGAGTTGGTACAAAGCTGGTACACAGGTGTTGGTACACGGGTGTTGTCACTGAGTTGGTACAAATTCGGTACACAGGTGTTGTCACTGTGTTGGTACAAAGTTGGCACACAGATGTTGGTACATAAAGTCGGCAAACACACCTGGTACACAGGTGTTGGTTTGTGCACACTGATGGTAAACAGCTGTGTACCAACTGTGTGCACCAACACCTGTGTAGAACCTGTATTGGTACAAAGTTGGTTCACAGGCATCTGTACACACAGCTCATGCACAGCTGCTGGTACAAACAGCCAGTACACAGGTGGTGTCGCTGTCACTCAATTCTTCATGCAGCAGCTTTCCTTTCCAAAAAGGGCGACGCCTTGAGATATCATCATTGAACTGACCCGCCCTCTTTATTTTGGTCATCTGTTTGTATCTGGATTCAAACTTGGGTTTGCATTTCATAAGTTGGTGATGCAGCGGCTTTCCAATTGCCCTCTATCAGGAACTTCTCGTCTTTGAGAGACTCAGGGCATGATCACACTGGTAGGACTTTCTCAGCTGAATCTGGCCGTATTCACTGCCAGATACGGCTCTGAAAGTCCTGGGGTAGTATGAAAATTCCTCTCAGCTGAATGGCCTCGCCCATCCATTTTATCGTGTGCCCACTTCGCCCACAAACATCCTCCGCTATCGTCTTCCCCTGAACACAAAGCCCGCCCCATCAGCAGTTATGTACTTGGACCCGAACAGGGTTCGTATGCATTCACAATGATGGGGCATTATGTTCAGGGGAAGAAGGCAATCACATATACCAGTAGGTCCGGGATCAGGATACCACAGAGTGCAGATAGAAATTGAAAACTGGTCTGGTCCAGGAGTGACAGATCAATTGGACAAGTGCATTCCAGGATCGGCTGATATATAAATTGGACCAGTGTGGTCACAGGTAGCAACTGAACACCAGGCTGGTCCAGAACGAACATATATATTGTCACAAGAATAACAGAACGCAAAAGAGGAAAAAAAGAAAAAGAAAGAAAACAAGGAACAAATGAGCGGCGGTTGCCCCCACCCCCGTGTTCAGAACCTCTTGCGTACAAGGCCGCCCACGTGGATGTAGGTTGAGCGGCGGCTGCCCCCACCCCCGTGTCTCATATCGACCCACTTGCACACAGCCAAAAGGCAAAGAGGCAAAGAAAGAGGAAGGGAACAGCCAAATATAACATAAACAAATCCTAGATGACAAGTCCCACATGCAAGCACCGCCCCCTCCGTCACAGGCCAAACGACAGGACAAGACCAACCAGGATATCAAAACACCCTTGCCTGCAACCAAGCAATCCCAGATAACAACCTTTCGTGCTCACCAGCGACTCTGCGTCAACTCCAAGAATCCTTTGCAATTGTTATTTGTTGCCAAAACTGGTATCGTTGTCATCTTTCTACTGCTTCGCTGTTCCAAACTAAAATACTGGGACGCCACCAACGGCAAAAAAACAAAAAAAAGACAATCAATCCCAGATGACGATTCCTTGGACCACAAGACCGGCAAATACGTAAATTAGACCAGCCTGGTTCAGAATAATCACCATCATTTGAATTGGACCAGTGTGGTCCAGGACCGCCCACTATAAATTGGACCGGTGTTTGTCATCAGGTACCAACATATACGTTGGACCAGTGTTTGTAGTCCAGGATCGGAAGGTTATGTACATTAGACCAGCCTGGTTTAGAATCGTCACCGTCATTTGAAGTGGACCAGTGTGGTCCAGGATCGTCAGATATAAATTGGACCAGTGCTAGTGGTCCAGCATCGGCAGATATAGATTGGACCAGTGTTTCAGTCCATGATCGTCAGATACTAAAATTGGACGTCCACAATCGTCAGATATAAAAATATGGATCAGCCTGGTTCAGGACCGTCACCATCATTTGAATAGGATCAGTGTGCTCCAGGATCGCCGGATATAAATTGGACCAGTGTGTGTGGTCCAATACCGGAAGAAATATATACATTGGAACATTTTTGTAGTCCAGGGTCGACAGATATATAAATTGGAACAGCGTTTCTAGTCCAGGATCATCGGATACGAGTTCAACCAGTGTTTGTGGTCCAGTTTTTCAGCAGCTATATCCAGGAGGACCAATGTGCGGTCCAGTGTTGGGGGATACAAATTGGGCGAGTGTGGGTGGTTCAGGATGATCAGATACAAATTGGACCAATGTCTGTGGTCCAGTATCGGAAGGTATATAAAATTGGACCAGTGTTTGTGATCCAGGACCGTGAGATACAAATTGGACCAGAATTTGTGGTCCAGGAGGGTTCGGACAAACCAGTAGTTCGACCCATCATTCTTCCCGGAGCACACACATGCCTTTCCTTCCCAGCCAGTTAAACATCCTGGTCCGAGATTGCACCAGGCTTGGACCAGGACAGGACCAGGACACACGTATGGAGAAGGCCGTTATATATTTGGACCTCCTCATCAGTCAATCGGAGATACATTGAACCTGTGCGGTCCACAAAAGGCAAACGGCGCTTCCTCTGCCGACAAAAGGCAAACAGTTGGCACACTCCAATCCAGGTCACACTGCCCCCGGAATACACATGTTTTAAATACTGCACCGCACATAGCGCAGGAGAGACTGGAACTGTGTCTGGCCAAGAAAATGCCTCTTGTCCATTGCCTGGGACCACAATGAGACTAACTCCAGTCCACACCTAATTCTTTTCCTTGAACGGATCAACTACCGTGGTTAGTTGGTTACAAGAAAGGTGCAGCTCGAAAAAGGCACAGCTAGCAGAACGGTACAGCAAGCATTAGAGTGCCAGGGAGGAATCAGAGGGACACAGGGAGGGAGGGAGGGAGGGAGGGAGGGAGGAGTAGGAGGAGAGAGACAGGTGGGAGACAATGCCGTAAGACAGATGAGGAGAAAAGAAGTAGACCAGAGAGGTGAAGACAGGTGATAAAAGAAGAAAGAAGAAGAAGAAGAATAGTAAAAACAGTGGCCAACTGCCTTTCGTACACGATTCGAAAGCTCATCAATACATAGCCGCGCGTACTCATCTCAGCTCACTCGCACAATCCCCGACGCATTTCGATCGATTGCGCTCCGATCATCCTCAGGGGGCTAACCTCATGACCCTGCCTTGCGGCCCACCAACGATCCTCCCATCTTACTGCGTATAGCGGACCGATACAGTCTTGTCCTCCTATATACTGTCCATCGAGCTGTAAGCTAGCTAGCACGGTACTCCCTTCCCAACGGGCACTTCCACGAGCGACTACGGCTACGATCGGTCTGCCGAGCTTCGTGATAATCCGTTACGTGTCGACCTGTCAACGAGCAACAGATAGTCAATCCACGTAGATTTGCAATCCTCGACATACTATCTATCCCTTCGGACCAGCTTTCGCCGCATGCTTCATGCGTACAGAGTACTATACATAAGCTAGGGGCTCTCTTCCACAGATAGTCGTTCCAATGTTCGCATCCCTCCATCAAACTACCGACTCTAATTCCTATTGGGCTAAATCGTGCTGCGTGGATCGTAGGCTCTATTCCTAATACGTGGCCCGGTTACCCACTCAGTTACAAGCGGGCCGCGCGTGACCTGTACAAATTCAAATCCGCCATGCAGTACATTTTCCCGCTTCGGGAATTAGGTGGGTACAGTCCGGTAGTGCTGTGTCACAGTAAGAAAAACAATTTTCCAGTACTAAACAATCCTATATCAAATATTGCATTAAAAATATAAGAAATCAAGTAAGAATATGAAAATTGTATTTTTTTTTAATAATCAAAAACAACTTGACTGCATACCTGGCAGAGGAGATACCACGGCGCACCTAATAGTCCAGTGCCACGTATTTTCAAGGACAAAAACGAAATAATTTATGTATGTCGATACTACGAAGGACTTTAATCCCCCGAGCCTACAATTTCCAAAAAAGCCCCTATCACGTCCGCTAATTTCAAACGCTTTTCTGGTAATAGAGGAAATACGCTGTCAATTTCTAATTCTACGGCAGTAACTGCCTACTGAAAATGTTCCCACAGTCCGCGCGAACAATTTCTACTTCTACACAAACAAGATATCTACACAGAAAATTATATTTCTACGCAAAAATCCCCACTGTACAGTAAACCAAACAGAAAATTTTGTAAATACGGTGCCTTATTCAAGGCCGCGTCCGCCACAAACATTTCCGCCCCGCACTGTTATCCCATTGTACCAGGTTCTCAAGCAGCCTCAACCAGGGCTCCTTGAGAACGCTGGTGCCCTTCATCAGGGGGGTATCCCCCGCCACAAATCATGCTAGGGTATTGAAGAAGAACACCGGGGGGGTATCCCCGGCGTAAGACCTCGTTCTTCATCAGGGGGGTATCCCCGGCATAAGAGCTCGTTCTTCATCGGGGCGGTATCCCCAGCGTAAGAGCTCGTTCTTCAGTGCTAGAACTGGTAGGATTAGAGTACATTCACTGTTCGCCATTTGCTGAATGCGGCAAAGACTACCGATTATATCCCCAATCTTTGCTCGTTTGTCTGAGTAGGAATTAAAATCCTGGAAACAACGATGGACGAGTTTCTGTTGCACTCCTCCCATCTGGCTCTTCTGTTCGTACTTGACCTTCAGCACCATCAGGAACTTGGTCATTCCCGATACGGCCGTAAGTCTTGTCCCAACGAATTCAACAGTGTTGGATCCGTCGTTTGTACGGACCAATGAGACTTAGTCACCGTAGCAGCTTGTGAACTTCATTAATATCTCCAACGCCTTACTAATGGAACCTTCTTTCCTTCCATTGAAAGTAGCTGCCATCATCACATCGTCCATGAATCTTACTCCATGGACAAGCTTGTGGTCACCTACCAGTGATTTCAGAAATCCTTCTTCATATTTCGCACACAGTAGGC